ATCTTATTTGCTTTTCAGATGATCGTATTACAGTTTTTCCTTAGATTTTACAGGAACACAGAATGATCCTTTCCTGTTCTGATTCACCATCCTAGGAATGTGAAAGTTTTTTTTTTTAAATAAAAAACCTGAAAAAGTTGTTTGATGTTGTAATTCAGAGGTTTGACTATAATGTTTCTTGGTAAGTTAATTTGACATTTCTTTCTGGTTGGTGATATTTTTTGATCTGTACTTAGCTAGCTGCTTCCAATATTTCTGGGTAATTTTCCTAGATGATCTCTTGAAGTATGGTATTTATGTTTTCTTTTTCATTTTTTTTTTTGCAGGAAAAACAAGTCTTTAGATTAGATCTTTGCATTCTATCTTCAAATTCAGTATTTTTTAGAGCTCATACATGTTTTTAGTCTCCTTAAAAAAATTGTTTTATTTATTTTCCTTGATTCCTTTTTTTGTACTTCTTTTGTTCTTGATTCCCTCCTTTTTTTTAAACATTAGATTTGCTGATTTCTAATAATTCCTGTCCTTATTTATTTTATATTTTCAATCAATTCTTTGTTTACTCTTCTGAAGGTTCTTGGAGTTACTCCATTGTTATTTCAGTGTATCTTTCCAAATTTATCTAAATGGCTTCATAATTAGGGGACATTGATTTAATTTCCTATGTTGATAAGAATTTGTTCATTGAGATGGCTCTTTTTTCAAAGATTTGTTCATTTCTCCTCAGTCATTTCTTATCTGTCTTTAATAATCACTCCATGATTTTTCTATGGTATCCTTGCTCTAAATTTATGCTGGGTCTTTCCCTTTCTCACACTGGTTACTGTTGTATCTCTCCCCCAGTCCCGGCTGCCTTCTCTCAGACCACTGTGGTTGCATGAGCTCTGATGCTCTTAAGAAGTGATAGTGACTAGTTGGGACACTGATGCACTGAAATGTTGAGACACTGCCATTGCTGGGCCAACTTACCACCTTTCCTACTCCAGTTCTGTGTGCCATTTTCTTGGGGGGCTGGTCAGGAAAGGGTTGGGGGGAGGGTGCCCCAGGACACTACTGAGGTGAATTTCCAAGGAGTCTTTGCATTTGGATCTTTCTCTATTTTTTCCCCTTTTTCCTTCTACTGGCCTCCTGAGTTCTCCTATACAATATTCAATAGTTGGCTCTTTTTACATTTCTCATCTCTTCTCACATCCCTAATCTTTGCCTTGAGGCACCAAATTCCTCCTCAGTTTTCCTTTGCTGCTTCTTGAACCTTATGGCTATTCTGATTTACAGACCTTCACCTTGGGGGGAGCCTGGACATTGCCAAGGAGTCATCTCTAAAAATCAGTGCTTAAAAATTGCTACCACAGGGATGTAGGGCTGTCATTGGCTGGCACAGCCATCAGCTGCAGGAAAGAATGGGGGTGCCAGGATAAATGGGCTGATAACCAAGTCTTTAGTTATATTTTTTTATTCTAAGAATTACCTAGTGGTGATTCCATTTTCCTCTTCTGGTTGTTGCAGATTTTGTTTCATTTGTTTTTCTTTTTTCTTCTTTATTTGGGTTTTTTTTTGGGGGGGGAAGAGCTTCAATCCTTGCTTACTTTGTAGGATTCTTGTAAGGGTCTTCATTAATTTTTAGGGTATTATTGCTAAAGAACATGAAATACATGCTGAATTGTTGCAATTATAGGCATAAATGTTAATGGTCCATTGCCATGTGCACAACTTGGTTTCTATGTCTTTAGATGATATTACTGAAAACTGAAACTATCCCTTATTTATTTCTCAGGCTCATAGACCTATCTAATCAAAGGATAAACTTCACAAGTAATGTGGAAAAGATAGCATTATTTTGTTCAAATTTTAATATCTTATTTTTATTGCTATGTTTTCTAATTACATTTCTACTCTGCCTAGCAAGCCATCCTTGTAAGAGAGATTAAAAAGAGAAAAATAGCAGGTCAGCAAAAACAGCCAATACATCAGCTGTGTCTGATAATATATGCAACATTCCACAACCATCATTTCCCACACCTGCAAAGAAGGAAGTGAAGAAGGTATTTTTTTTTTCATTTCCTCGCTGGGGTCAAGCTTGGTCATTCTAATTGACAGTCTTAGTTTTGTTTTTTGTTCTTTCTATTTACATTGTTGAAGTTACTGTGTATATTCCTGGTTTTGCTTACTTCACTCTGTATCAGTATATATGAGTCTTATCATACTTTTATTTTTATTTATTTATTTATTCATTTGGTGAGGCAGGCAGAGTTAAGTGACTTGTCCAGGGTCACACAGCTAGTAAGTTTCAAGTGTCTGAGGCCGGATTTGAATCCAGGTCTTCCTGACTCCAAGGCTGGAGCTCTATCTACTGCACCACCTCATTTCTTTCAATTTCTCATTTCTTATAGTACATTGCATTCATGTGCCACACTTTAGCCATTATAGTAATATTATCTTTTAAAAGTCATCTCCTTCTTTATATATGAATTATGTAGAGAGAGTGATTTTCCAAGCACAATCTGGGTCTCTCCTTTACTATCATTCTCTAATCCTCCTTCCAGTTCTTTGCCTGCTTTGTGAGCTCAAACTTCTTGAGAGCAAGGGCAACTTCATTTTTTGTTTTTGTATCCCAGCACCTAGCCCATAATACATACTTTTTTTTTTTTTTTTGGAGGCAATTGGGGTTAAGTGACTTGCCCAGGGTCACACAGTTAGTAAGTGTCTGAAGCTGGATCTGAACTCAGGTCCTCCTGACTCCAGGGTCGGTGCTCTATCCATTTTGTTACCTAGCTGCTTCTCACATAATAAATGTTTGCTGCATTTCCCAATTGAGGGTTGGGAGGGAATGTATAACTTTTTCATTTTTCTATCTGCAAATCAATTCAACAAGCACTTAATGAGTTCCTACTGTCTCACAAGCATTGTATCTGTGGAGAGAGACAAAAAGTTAACATTCTCTACCCCTGCAGGAGTTTACATTCTATTAGGGGAGACAACATTTGCATACATATAGAGAAAGAGACTAAACTTGATTTCATTGGTATAGAGAATTATTAGATGATTCAAAGTCCTTTACCAATGCCACTTCAGTCAGTCAGTCAAAAGCATTTATTAAGCCCTGTGCTAAGCACTGGGGACACAAGGAAAGACAAAAGACAGTCCCTGCCCTCTAGGAGCTCACAATCCAAAGAACCAGACTATATTAAAAGAAGCTGAAATGGGGTCTGGAGTGGGAAAAAGTAGGGGAGGTGCACTGAGGCCCTTCCTTAAATGGAGAATCTTGGAGGAACTCTCTGGTATCCATCCTCCACCCTCTCCAGCCAGAGGGAGGGATCTCAGAGTCAGACGCTGAGGAGGAGGAAGGTTGGTACCCTCACTTCAATTTACAATCTAGAGAGTTGCACAAGGCACTTAGATGTTAAGTGAGGTCAAAAGACAGGATACATGTGTGAGAGGCAAGATGTGAACAGACATCTTGGTTCTGAGCCTAGTTCTCTATCAACTAAAGTAGCTAAGTGGAATATTGGATACAGAGCCAAACTTGAGATTAGAAGACCTGAATTCAAATCCTGCCTATTATCATTAGCTGTAATTTATAGGCTTAGAAAGTTGCCAGGAGCACCCAGAGGTTAGATCCAGGGTCACATACTATTATGTGCTATGATATCATGTAAGGCACTGCAAGCTTTAAAATGCTATTTACTATTTATCATTATTATTCAGAGGTGGAATTGACATGGAGTAGAAGCCAAATTAATGTTCGATTAAAATTTAAGTACATTGTGGATGTACTTAATACTCAACAAATACTGAACCACAAAGTAGACTCCAGTTCGATTGTTTTTATCTGACCTGACCGGAAGATTAGGCAACCCTGGGCTAACTTGCCAATGATTTAAAGGAACCAAGTTTGGGTTCCTGGCAGGGATCAGACATTGGAAATAGAGTGTGATTTGATTATCACAAAATTTCATAATCTCTATGGGCTGTAGCATTCCAAAACTTCATATAAATTTGCTCTCTTTTTTTTTGTCTCTTAACAAATGCCCATTAGTGCATTTATAAAGTTTTTTCCATAAAGGTATAATTTTATTAAATTTTATTTCCATGTTTACAAGAGAAACTTAAACAAACAAAAAAGCCTTAACTATGCACATGAAGTGACTATATCATCTTGAAAGTTTTCCTTTTAGTAGGAACTCTTAAATTCTTGGAATAGTCAGAATTTAATTACAATTAATTTCATTGTATTAACTCATTAATTACATTTAATTGCAGCCTCTACTTAAAAGCTCTTTTGCGTTGCTGTAACTACTAAAACTTTTTTTTTAATGAAGTTTACCATCCTTTTCCAAGTATCAAAGTAAATTTTTGTCGCAGGAACACGGCACAGACAGACAGAAACAACCTGGGAGGCACTAGTCTCTAAGAGGGCGAGGCGGGGGGGGGGGGGGGAGGGGCGGGGGGCGGGGGGCTAAGCCCAGCAGGAGTTCCCAGAACCAGGTTCAAAGCCCAGTAGAGGCTAGGGGCGGGGGGAAGGAAAGATTTCTGGCTCCTCCCCTCCAAGATCCCGATTAGTAGGAAGAACGGACCTCTGGGTCGCACTGTTTGAAGTTGCAAATGCAATTGTAACATGTGTAAGTTGTAATATAAATTGTAAAATATGGTCATTGGTTCCAGCCCAATAGAAATACGAAGGCCTGGCTTGGTGGAGGATAATCTCCATTCCTTAAACCTGGCCCTGGGCCACACTGTAGTGGAAAGGCGGGCGAGCTTGGGCAACAGACCGACTCCCCAAACTGGAAACACTCCACTGACTGAGAAACACGAAGACAAAGCTCAAAAGGCTTCACCAAGAACCGTTGGGAAGGGGCGGGAAAAGGCGGTGCCCGACGGGAGGGATCACCAATCACCGTGCTCAAGGTGGCCCTCCACCTCCCGCCCTCCCTCGCCCCGCTACCCTGACGTCAGCGCCTGCGTGGGATTCTCCTCTCCTTTCTAGTAGCGCCGGGAGCCGCTGCCGGAGCTGTCAGGGCTGAGCGAGGGGCCGCCTGAGCCGCCTCTGCGCCCCAGTCGCTGTCGCCTTGTCTTTCTTTGTCTCGGGCGCCAGGGCCCAGCTGTTTAACCCGCGCCTCACCCAGGGCCCAGCGAACCGGGAAGCTGCCGTGGGCCAAGAGGAAGAGCAGGACGGCTGCTTAGGTGAGAGCCCCCGGGCGGGGCGGACTAAGTGGGAAGCAGCATCCCCTCGCTTTGACCCCGTGCTGGCGTTGCCTCCGCCGGGCCGGCGCGGTCTGGCCTTGGCTCCTTCCGACCGGGGAGCGGGCAGGAGGGAAGGGGTGCAGTTAATGGTCTCCTGCTCGCCCGCCCGCCCGCCGCGCAGCCAGCCCCCGTTCCCTGCCTCTGCACCTGCCCATCTCGGGGCTGGAGTACCTGGGAAAATGCAGTCGAGGCCCAAGTGTTCGCTGGCCACGCAGCTGCTGCAAACGAAAGGTAGTGTTTCCTCCTGGCCTGCCTGCCGGGGAAAGGTGCCAGGTAGTAAAGGAAATAATGAAGATGCTGGAAAGGACTTTGTGGAGCTGGTTAGCCTCTGGTTAGCTAACACCCTAGGGAGGTGATTCATACCGACCTGATCTAGGGCTTATGGAAAAGTGACAGGGTGGTGTTTTTTCCCCCATCAAAGACTTTGAGTGAAGTGTGAATCCTTCAAATGGATACCTTCACTCCCTGTTTTGTGATCCCCTGGAAGAGAAAGTGTGTAATAATAATAAATAACTAGCAATTATGTAGCTCTTTTAAGGTTTGCAAAAGCACTTTGATATCTTACCTCGTTTGATCCTTAAAGCAACCCTGTGAGATAGGTGCTTTTATTGTCCTTAGTTTACTTCTGAGGAAACTGAGGCTGAGATTTGTCACATGACGTGCTCAGGGTCACACTGCTAGAAGTGTTGGAGGCAGGCCTTCTTAACTCCAAGTCCAGCACTTTATTCACGGTGCTGCCTGGTGTGTAGGTAGAAAAAAAGTTTGGTTGTTGAATGAGTTATATATTTGGTTCACATTTGTAATGGAACTGGCTTTGTTGGTAGAGTTAATGGTGTAGAGTTGTATGATTAGAGTTAATTGGTGGCATCTTTAGTCACTAATATGTTGATGGGGGGGAGGGTACTTCTAGTCACTGGCATAAATAGATGGGGTCAGTGACTTGCTGTGTCCACTCTTGATGCTGGTAGTAAACAGTTTTCACCTGTGTGACCTGTGAGAAAACCAAACTTTATTCCTTTGGGTTTCAATTTCTTTATTTGTAAAATGAAAGAATTCTGCTAGAAGATCTCTAAGAGTCCTTATAACACTTCTTAATCCTGTGGTTCAAGTAACCAGGGGACTTAAGGTTAAAAATATAATTCTTTACCCAGTGTATCTTTCTCTCTTCAGAGACACTGTACTTTCTCTAGAATATTATCTCTAAGATAAATATACACAAGGAAGAACATTTCCCAACCTCCCTCAGTGCTCAAGCTTACATTGGCAGAATTTTACAATCATCGTATAATATTCTAGTATTGTTGGTAATGACATATTAAAGTTGATTTTTCCATTATCTGAATGCCTGTAGGACTTTGTGTCACTCCTGTATTTTTACATTCCACAAATATTGTGTTATAGTTAATTGTATGCTTATCTTCTGTCTCTTACTAACTATAGGCTCCATGGGGGAAGGGACCAGAGGCTAACACAATGCTTGGCAAATTTTGTTGAAAGGATAGGTGAATGAATGAATTTACTGTTTCTTTTGTCATCTAATTGAAATCCCACCCTTTGAAATTAATGTCCATTTTTTGGTTCCTATTATAACAGAGATGGAGACCAACAGTCATACGTGTCACCTTAATCCATTCTTGAATTACTGTTATCTCAAAAAGAACATATAATTCATGAGCAAGCAGAGAGGAGACTATGAGCAAGACATATAACCTCTCAGCACCCCGACACAATTCTCTAAGACTTTAAGTTCCAAAGAAGTTCATATTTGTTCCAAAAGGAGAGACAAGTTTACTTGATTTTATTTCTAGTTCTTCATGATAGAGGTTTCCATAGTAAAATATATGTTTGTATACTGTGATGCAAACATTTACATTAGAATACGTAACAAAGCAATTATCATCAAGACTATATGTTACTGGGCCAAAAACAAAACCCTCCAGAAACAAAAAAACAAAAACAAAACCCAGACATATGGACTTGTGGAATACACAAGACATTCAATTAAATATATACAAGAGATTAGTGTTTGATAAACTCATTGGAAAAAGAAGCCATTGTAACTGTAAATGTAAATATAACTGGGAAAGTTGGTTAGCAGTTCAGCAGGGAATGGATTTAGACTCACATATTCTACCATATTTATGCCCCAGTGAATTCCAGCTGAATGAGAGACAATTTTTTTTTAAACTAGCAAAAAGATGGGAAAAAAACATGATGCACTTATTTCACTTGTGTAAGGGAAGTAATCTTTTTGTATTTAATAAATAGAAGGGAATAATTAGCTAGATGTGCTCACGTTAAGATAAATTTCTGTACAACAAAAACAATATAATTTTAAAAATATCATAGTCAATAATAGTAAATTAACATTTATTAAGAGTCTGTTATGTGCTGGGCACTATGCTAAGCACTGAAGATACAAATCGTAAAAGAGAAAGACAGGCCCTGCCCTCAAGAAGTTTACAATTTAATGGGGAAAACAACATGAAAAGCAGCTTCAGGGGGTGTGGGAAGAAGGGGAGAGAAGGTATCCAACTTGTGGGCATGTGGAAAAGTCAGTCAGAGAAGTCCCAAAGGAGTGCAGCCAGGTGAGAAACGAGATCTCTGAGCTGAGCTGTCTTCTTAAATGGTTTGGAGTTCACTGCCCCACTCTCCAATCTGGGAGGCAGAAGGTGGTGATGAGGTAGAATTCCAAAGCTGATGAAATCTTATAGTTATTCCAGTGATGAGATTATTCCAGTGATAAACTTCCTGGGGCATGGTAGAGAAGTCCCAAAGGAATATAGCAAAGCGTGAAATTGATAAGTAGATTGGTAAAATATGTCAAATATGACAGATTAAAAAACCTGAAATACATACATTTTAATATATATATATATGTGTATGTATATAACAGAAAGGATATAAACAATTTTCAATAGAAGAAACACAGTGTTAATAATTGTTTGAAAAAATACTTGACTTAATCATTGAGAAACAGCTTTGAAGTACTGCTATCAAATTCCCCAAGATAATTAAAAGCAAGGAAACTGAGTGCTGGCAGGGTTTCAAAGAATCAGGTACAAGCTGCTACAGAGAATCAGGTACACCTTGTTCATTGGTGAGAGAAATGCAAATCTGTATAATTTTTTTTAGCGCAATGTGGAAGTATGTACTGAACATTGCAGATAAGGACCCTTTGGCCCATTGATTCCTTTGCTAGAACTATATCCAGAAAATTTTATTTAAAACCAATTAATTCATCAAAGATGTTCATAGAAACATTATTTGTAGTTGTAAAAATTGAAAGCAGCTTAATGACGAACAATAGGGGAATTTTAAAGTAAATTTAGGTACAGTAATATAATGCCATAATGTGATTACGGTTGGCAAATGTCATAGGCCAGACCTGATTTGAGTTACTCTGGTTGCTTAAATTTAAGCTATCAAACAGTCAAAAAAGGAAATTTACTTAATCGCAACATAGAAAAAAAATATTCGGCAAAAATGTAGCAGTGATTCATTTGGATACAGCTTACCCCCTTCTGTGTTAGCCATGCTGGTTCAATTGTCAGAAGCATGTGACAAACCAGAGGGAAGAGCTCCTGATTCGTCATGGGCTGGTTTTTACATTTAGGTGAACAGGAAGTTTTATATCAGAGGTTTGACCGAGTGGCAGCGAGCAGTTTCCTGGGCACCAGCAGAGTAGGCAGCAAAGTAGGCAACATTGGGTCCCAATGGATAGCAGAACAGGCAGGCCCAGTGTAGCCCTTAATTTACTATAATCAGGAACTGATAAGGTCCCTCCACATTGCTGCTTACACAGTGCTTAATGTTCCCTGGCCCATCAGCTAGGAGCACGAGGGATAGGAAGGGGGATAACAAATATTTTCTTCTTTAGAGGCCTCTGCTGAGGCACTGTCTCATTCCACATTGAATGGGTGAACTGTTTCCTATTATCCCTGTCATTGGAAAGCAAAACACCTCCACACATTTCTACCCTTGGTGCTCAAAGTCCTTGAGGCGTTCCTGATAGGAATTCCCAGGGGCCTTATCAGTTCCAGATTACAATAAGCAAAGGGATAAGATGGGCCTGCTGGTGCTGATGTCGACACCAGTGGCTGCTCTGTTGCTGCTCTGCTGGATGGGGCCGTGAGAGCTGCAGATACTGAGCACTCCCCTTTTGTCCTGCTGTGGCTCCCCGCCTCCTGTTCTGAGACCAGAGTAATAGAAGGCAGGGTTTCCCTGGGCAAGTGCCGCATCCCTGTTCTGTAACTCCACCACCACTGGCTGATCTACTACATTGATGAGCTAAGGAACAGCCACAAGTATGGCTCAAGCAACTACAAGGGTTTCTGGCCAGCCGGACCAGGGCTTGGACTCCTCATCTTATCAGTAGTCTTCCTAGCTCCTGCTACAGATTCCACCTTCACAGATTCCTGTTGATGTCTTGAACTTACGTAGCTGCCATGAAGGCTAAGAATATTCACTGAAGAATTATTCATCTATTCTTAGGAGAAAAAAACACAATGCAAAAGAGGTGGTAAAGACTCTTTTGACTAGTATATTTGCTCTAGCTGCCAGATGTGAATAGTGGGCATTTCTGCCACGGACTCCTGCAGAGTGGACCCCAGCCCAGGCCCTCATTTACCCTTGGGAGTCCCTGTGAGAAAGAGAGTTTCAGTTCAAAGGAGCAAATGTGGAAGCAGTCTTTCCTCCTTTTGTCCGTATCCCTGGTTCTAGAAAGATCTCTGGATTCCTGGGGAGGATCGGTCCTTTCAAAGGTTAGGAAGGACACTGTGTCTTGCACCACATTTCTAACAAAATCCACATGGCACAGTTCCCAATTGCCTCCCAAATGCCATATAAAAAGTGCCAAGCAGTTCATTCATCGAAATCCTTAGCTAATCCCTAAATTACAATCTCTAGGGAGGGTCCATGCCTACCAAAACTTTTGGTCCTAGAAATCACTATTACACATAACCCCCATTCAAAATTTATATATGTTCAACAAAAAATAGTTTGTAGAATTAACTATCTTTATGGCAAAATTTTTTTTGGAGGTAATCGGGATTAAGTGACTTGCCCAGGGTTATATAGGTAGTAAATGTCTTAGGCCATATTTGAACTCAGATCCTCCTGACTCTAGGGCCAGTGCTTTATCTACCATGCCATTTAGCTGCCCCTATGGCACTATTTTCTTTTTTTTTTTTTTTAAGGCAGTTTAAGGCACTTTTTTTAAGTGACTTGTCCAAGGTCACACAGCTAGTAAGTGTCAAGGGTTTGGTCTGAGACTTAATTTGAACTCAGGTCCTCCTGACTTCAGGGCCAGTGCTTTATCCACTGCGCCACCTAGCTGCCCCCCTATGGCACTATTCTTAAAGATGCAGAGCACACATACATCTGTCTCGAGCTGCTGAATGCCTACAAATAATTTACTCTCTAATCTCTCTGGATCAATGGAGAACATCTTACCTCATGTAGCCATAGCCAAAAGTACCACCTCCAGAATTACAGAGGCCTAAGGATTCAAGCTCCCTATCAGAATGTGTAATCACCCTGGATTCCTCTTCTTCTATATCACCTTTCCCCACTTCAGTTAGGTCATTCCAATCCATTCATGCTAACTATTGCCAAGTGTTGTAAATTAGGCTTGACTCAGGCCAGTTTGGTGATTCAGGATTAGAATGAAATAAAAAATTATAGGCCATCCAACAGTGAACAAAAAGTTTATTAACGTTAGCACGGAAAGGATATTCAACAGGGTATAGCATTGATTCATTTGGAAACAGTTTCCTTGTCTCTGTGTGGCCATGCTTGTGCACAAAGTGAGTGCCAAGCCAGAGGGAGGAGCTCCTTATGGCCAGCTTTTAGCTTAGTTTGTGTGTGGTAGATGTTGCTCCTATAACTAAGTCTGAGGAATGCAAAGAAATACGGCCTTTTTGCTCTGTAGTTTCATTATTTCTTCTCTGGGACCTTCATTGGTTCTTCCATTATCTGAGTAGAATTCAACTTCCTTTTGATGACGAATGCCCTTGAACAACTGGTATCTTTGACAACAAACTTGTATCCAGAGCCCCTGAGCAATGCCTTTGACAATAACTTGTGACCAGATAAGAAGCCCTGAACTAACCAATCACATTCTAGCACTTAGCTGATAACTGATCAAGGGACTTTCTCATCTTCCTGTTAAGAAGGCACTTTGCCTCTCTGTCAGGTCTAGCTTTGCCCAGTAGGCTGTGGCTGCTGCTGCACCTGCCTCTTCTAAGGAGAACAGTCTAACTCTGAATAAGTGTCTTTGTTCAACTTGGAGACAGCCTGAACAAATTCTTTCGAGATGACACCATGACTCACACACTCCTTAAACCCCAACACTTGTAGTGATCGCTTCATTTGCGTCATTACAGTCATCATGTATGTTGTTCTGTTACTTTTATTTCACTGTGTATCAGGTCATATGATCTTCCTCTGTTCCTCTGAATTTATCATGTCTTTTCTTACTGCTTAGTAATATTCCTTTACGTTCATAAACCACAGTGTTTGTTTTTGGGTTTTTTTTTTCTTCTAGCAGTTCCCCAGTCAATGGGCACCTACATTATTTGTAGTGCTTGCTATACAAAGAATGCTGCTGTATTTATTTTGGTACATCACTCGACCTTCTTTTTTAGTCTTTGACTTCCATGGTGTATATGCTTAAAATGGTATTGCTGGGTCAGAGTTCATGGATAGTTTAGTCACTTTTCTTAAACAATTCCACATTGAAATCTAGAAAACAGTTGGACTACCTCACAGCCCTACCAGTAGTGTGTCTGGGTGCCTCTGTTCCCATAGCCATTCCAACAGGGACTATTGCCATCTTTTAGAAAAAGTGTATTAAGATCTTTGTTTTTACCTAAGCTTTGTTTCCACATATATCCCCTAACCTTCCCCTACCCAGAGAGTCAGCCCTTGTAACAAAGAATAAAAAAGAGAAGGGAGAAAAACCGCTTCAGCAAAACTAGCCAACACGTGAACCAAGTGACAACATAGGCATTGTTCCAGTGTACACAATGACTGCCCCTAGTGCCCACCTCTGCAAAGAGGAGGAACAGACATTTCCTCATCTTTTCTTCAGTGCCTGACTCAGTTATTATACAGCACTCAGTTTTGTGGGGTTATGTTGTTTGTGTAGTTGTGGTATACATTGTTTTCCTGGTTTTGCTTACTTTGTATCATCCAGGTTTTTTCTTTGTATGCTTTATATTCATATTTATTTATAGACTATTAACATCCATCTCCACAATCTGTTTGGCTATTCCCCAGTGGATAATTACTTTGTCTCTAGTTTTTTGCTACCAACAAAGTGCTGCTAGAAATATTCTACTGTAGGTGATATATTTCTTTCAGTTTTTAATGTACTTGGAGTATATGACTAGTACTGAGATTTCTGGATCAGAGGACATGGTCATTTTAGTCACTTTTTTATCATAATTAAAAATTGCTTACTGGAATAATTGGACTAATTTACAATTCTACTAATGATATGTTTGTGTGTTTCTATCTTTTTTTTTTTTCATCTTTGGCCCTTAGCATGTCCTGAAGTGAAATCTTAGAGTTGCTTTTAATTTAAATTTCTCATACTATTTAGTGATTTGGAACATATTGGAGGAGTGGATCTTGGTGCTCTGTATTTGTCAGTCTCTTGTATATTTTGGATATCAGACTTTATTGTTGATTTTAATGCAAATAATTTTTCCCATTCTACACTTTTTCTTTTCTGTCTTCATTGATTTTATTTGAATAAAAGCTTTTAAATTTTACACAGTTAGAATTATCTGTTTTATCTTTTATTATCTCTGTGCACTTTTTGGTTAAGAATTCTCCCTTTACCAATATTCATAAAAAAAGTACTTGATCTTATTTTCTTCTAGCAGTTGTTTTTTTAAAAAAATATTGGGACCTTTTACATTCAGGTCACATCTGTTTTATACTTGGAATACTTTAAAAATATAAAGCTAATGAAATAGAAGTAGAATTTATATTTGTATATAATATTTTCTTTAAAAAGTTCAAAATACCCTGTAAATCACAGATTTGTAATTTCTTTGCTTCAAGTTTCTAATATAGACCATTACTCTTCTTTGCTTTAGTAACTATGTCTTTGTAAGTTGTTGTGGTAATAAAAAATTAATTTATTATTAGCAAGCCTTTTAGTATTAAGACTTCCTGACTTTAGCTAGATAGGTGCTTGGATGACAGACACAGTTGGTAGCCTGATCCATTGCAATTTGGTCAGCCCTGTCAGAGCTTGTACTTTCTTAACATTGTCTTTAAGAACTTAACATCACTCCCAGGCCACCTAGTGAAACATCAGAGTAAGACTTTAGTGGAGGATATAAATGGTATCATAAAATAATCCAACTTTTCTTTTGAGGAAAAGTAATGGGCAATAGTAGGCAAAGTAAAAGAGGAGAGAAATGAAGGGAAAGATCATGTGATAAGAGGCAATATGGTGGAGTGGACAGAATGATGGACCTTAAAGGATTGGCTTTGAAACCTACCTCTAACCGTGACTAGCTGAGTGACCATAGGCAAGTCACTTGATATCTCTTAGCCTTATTTTCCTCATCTGTAAAATGGAAATCATAAAAACATAGATCTAGAGTTTTAATATATCTTAGAGGTCATCTAGTGCAGCCCTTCATTATACAGTTGAGAAAAATGATCCCCAGAGATATTAGTTTGCCTGCCCAAAGCTTCATAGTTAATTGTAGAAATGGGATTTGAACAAAGGTCCTAGAATTCCAAGTTTATCATGCACTGCCTACCAAATTGCTTGCCAAAAGGTGGATCCCCATATAGAGAGGGAATTTCATGTAGTGAAGACTGTTGACTAGTGTAAAAGATTACTGAGGAACATTGTTGAGTCTTCTTTTCAGACTAAATATTAATAGATGCATAACTACATGCAGGGAAGGAGCTTTAGGAGACTGTATGTGTACTTACATGCACAAATGAGTGCACATATGTAAGAGAACACTTAGCCAGTTGTGTTTAATCTTACTGTATTGTGGTTATATATATTTATGAGGTTAGGAATTAATTCCAGGGTAAAAGACTTTTGAAATGTGGGAAGAAGTTACTTTGAACTGTCTATTGGAGGAACTTTAGCAATATGATTATACTTAAATATCTGATTCACAGGGTTATTGTGAGAATCAAATGAGATAATGTGTATAAAATTTTCTGCAAACTTTAAAGTGCTGTGTAAATGTTGCCTTTCATTATTCTTTTTTGGATGGATGAACAGATGGATGAACAGGTAGATCTGGTTGATGCTAAGTGAAGTACCTATACATTCTATCCCTTTATGTATAGTCTCTACTCCCCGCATTGTGGGTTCCATTACACAATTCTTTGGCATATTAAAAACCTTTTTTTAAAAATCTAGCCCTAAATATTTAAATTTGTCTCTATTCCCTGAAGTACAATTTAGACATAATTCTTTTTTGAATAGTGAATTATGCTAACACATTCATAATTTGTCTGTGTAATCTAAAAAGGTAGCTTGTGAAACCACAAGGCAGTAATTATTCTAGGCAGTATTTAAGTTTTGTCAGGTTTGTAAAGTTTATGATAAGCATATTTCTGTTGAAATATTGAACAAATTGGTATATATGAAAGATAATACTAACATTTATTTTCTGCAAATTTAGGAACTCTATTTTGCGAATCTCTCAAAAAGAAAAAAAATCATGGAGAAGAATGGGAACAATAGAAAGCTCCGAGTTTGTGTTGCCACCTGCAACCGAGCTGATTACTCAAAACTTGCCCCTATCATGTTTGGCATTAAGGCAGAGCCTCAATTCTTTGAGCTTGATGTGGTAGTACTTGGATCTCACCTAATAGATGACTATGGGTAAGGTAGAAATTATACCTTATGTTATTTTTTTGTAGTTAGAGGGAAGTGCATTTTAAATTAGATCTTAAAATTGTGTTATACTTATTAATGACACATTCTCTTATGATAATTGGATTGTGAAAATTAAGTATTATTCAGCTTTGAGTACAGTGTGCAATGTTAATGCTATGTGAAAGGGACTTCTGAGGTCATCTAATCTAAGCTTCTCATTTTACAGATGAGGAAATTAAAACCTGGGAGGTTAAGTAACATTTTAAAACCATTACACTTATTAATAATACTAATGCCTTTATGATAACTGTATTGTGAGAATTATTTTGAATACAGGGGATAATATTAACTTGATATTGTATAATGAATACAAATATATGACAAGTTTTTCAATCCAATTCATATATTAGATAAAGCAAAATGTAATGTTATTAATATTTATTAATTAGATCAATTCATTATTAATTAGATGTGGTTCATGTTTTGACCTAAATTTGAAAAAATACAAAAGGAGAAAGAAGTTTAGGAAAAATCTTTGAAAAGATAGAAATGTACAGTTGTCCTTTGATAAATGTACTTGAAATTAAATGGTCTTTGAATAACACTGATGTGTCATTTAATGCTCTCTAGTGGATTAAACTAGTGTTACTTAGTTTTCAAAGACAATCTAAATTTCTATCATTGTTAAAAAGCAAGATGTGGATTATAGCAATAATTCTGTTTCAAAGAATTTATTTTGTTTTAAATTATTTTAACGAAAAGCACAGCATCGACATTTTAACATAAGAAAATACTTCAGGAACTGAGAAGAAATTTGAGAGTGGTTAAATTTTTTTCATGTGAAATAAGTTCCGTTTGCCCAGGGAGAAAAATCAACTTTGAAATGAGGTAGCATGAAGGTCATAGTGAATGACAGTAAGAGAAGGAAAACTGAGCAGATTACTACCTACCTTTGAGATAGCATAGGGAGGACATTTGGTAGAAAAGAGACATCCAGAGAGAGTAATCTAAGCATTTTTTTTAGCCACCTGCCTCAATAATGATGGATTGAAAAAATTATTAAATTGGTATGGTTATTAAATAGAAAACTGACAGCATTTCTTCTACTGACAGAATTGAATGGGACTGAATTGAAATCCTGAGCTACATTGTCACTTTCTTTTCTTAAAATCAGAATTTTCATTACAATGGTATCCTTTCCAAATGAAATATTTCTATTTTGCATTGAGAGTAATGTTAGCTCTGTCAGCTAGAAGTTTGCTTTTACAGACAAGTAGGACTTAGGAATCCTGTTTCTTGATTCCCTGGTTCAAATCTAGATTTTCGAAGATTGTGCTTTCTTAATAAGTGTTTATCCCACTCTGAGATTGTCACTATATTGCTTTTCTCATATATTTATTGCTTTAATTCAAATAAATGTTCTAATGGAATCTTTCTTTCCTACCTAGAAACACATATCGTATGATTGAACAAGATGATTTTGACATTAATACAAGACTACACACCATCGTTAGGGGTGAAGATGAGGCCGCCATGGTGGAGTCAGTAGGTCTTGCATTAGTAAAGCTTCCGGATGTTCTTAATCGTCTGAAACCTGACATAATGATCGTTCATGGTGATAGATTTGATGCACTGGCTGTGGCTACGTCTGCTGCCTTGATGAATATTCGTATTCTTCATATTGAAGGTGGAGAAGTAAGTGGGACCATAGATGACTCTATTAGACATGCTATAACCAAATTGGCTCATTATCATGTGTGCTGCACCAGAAATGCAGAACAACATCTGATATCGATGTGTGAGGACCATGATCGCATCCTTTTGGCAGGCTGCCCCTCATATGATAAACTCCTTTCAGCCAAAAATAAAGACTACATGAGTATTATTCGTATGTGGTTAGGTATGTATTATATGAAATATCAATATAATGATTGTTTTTGTTTTACTAGAAATTGTTGGGTATGTATGAATCTCTTTAGTGGCTGAACCATGCCAGTATCTGTGAAAGACACAGAGGTAAGTTTTTTGCTTTGGGGTTGGTTTCTTGGTTCTGGTACAAGCCTTATGTGGTAACACAATTGACCAAATTATCAAGGGCCCTAACTTTAATTTAACTCACAAAAAACATTCATCTCATAGTCCTTGCCATGATTTCCTAAGTTTTTTAGATATTTATTTTTTACTTTGAAAAGTAACTTGATGTGGGGAATATAATTTAAGTTACTTTCAGATTTTGGAAAACTTTGAAATAAACCCAGTTTGGTTTTTATTATGCAGTTAAATTATAAACTCCATTTCATAACTTACAAAACAGAATGCTAATTTACTAACTTATTGCAATATATCTAGGGAAGATAATCAGCAATGGTTATCTGTTCAGCACATCCCCTTCCTGATAGGTAAATCTAATCAAGAAGTGAAATTAACTGTCAGAAGATCATTGGGTGAGTCCACACTCACCCAATGATCTTCTGACAGTTAATTGTGGAATCAAAGAAAGGATTATGTTAAAGAAAAAAGATATTTCCATTCATACCACAATAACATCTGAAGGAACTGAGCCTTTCTATTTTATAAGATAACTAACCCCAGGAGTAGATAAGTATAGCTCCAGGCAGTTTTCTATTTCTGCATAGTGCTAGAGATATAATCACAAATTTCAGATTCTCAGAATGTTTTTTTTTCTATTTTTCATATTCCATTTTGATCATTCTTGTTCATCAGATTGTAGCAGACATATTATGATTCCGTTTTCACTATAATTAAGATACTTCTTTATCTTTTTCAACATTGTTTTTCATTTACTCATTTAAATAGTTTCATCCTATCTTTAATGATTCCAAGTAGATTGTTTCTATTTCATCTACATTAAATTGATTACTCTTAATCTCAACCAAAGATTGCTTTGGACCTTTGTCTTTCTTACTTTTCACTTAGTTCCTGATATCAAATTTATTTGGTGTCTTTTAATCCTTTATGTAATATATTCTTATATTTTGTCCTGTCTTTCCCCCTTTAGAAATTAATAGAGTACCACTTTAAAGTCAGTGTATGATCTTCAGCCAAATGTAATATATGTAATGTTGGTTACTCTTAATCACAAAGTATTTATTAAGCACTTCCTATAAACCAAACACTAGGGATACCAGAACAAAGAAATAAAATAATCACTACCCACAATGAGCTCAAGTCTCATTATTTAATGAAGATAACTACTTCTAATTGTCCTTTGGAATTTGACAATATTTGCAATGAATTACTGGTTTATTCAATAAGATTTTATTCTATAACATTATAATTAATTTTCAGTGTTTGCCAATATAATACAAAATTATGCTATAACTATCCCATGTTATTTCAAGTGGGTTTCTATAATGCAGATATTTTAAGAAATAACTCTAAAGCCTTATTGTCCTTGGGGCATAATATTGGAGAATTTGTTAGAAGGAAAACAAAAAGAGAGAATAATAAGATATTTCTGGCATTTCAAACAATAAATTTCCTTGAGTAGGATCCAAAAAAGCCCCATCATACTTTGAATTTTATATGACTATCAGTTGTCTTATGATGAAATTCCAGTATATTAAAGATTTGCTTGACATTTTTAATGATTGCTTTCCCAACTTTCCTAATGATACTGTATTATCATAATTTTAATGTTTATTGAGGATGTCAACTGTACTCAGGTATAATAAGAAATGAAAATTTTTCCCCATTGTAATCCCCTAGGACTTTTGTAGTGTTTGAAATTGTAATAAACATACAACACATCTTTTTTAAACCTATATCGTGTGACTCTAGTACAAAGAATTTTTTTAAACTGTTAAGCTATTTGATTTCCAGGTTTGGTGTGCTTGGATTTTTATCAGTTATTTCCAATTTAATTTTTATTTTTCTAATTTAAATATCTTTTTTTTTTTTTTGATTAGGTAGTGGGGTTAAGTGACTTGCCCAGGGTCACACAGCTAGTAAGTGTTATGTGCCTGAAGCTGAATTTGAACTCACATTCTCCTGAATCCAGGGCCGGTGCTCTATCCACTGCGCCACCTAGCTGCCCCCTAATTTAAATATCTTATTGGAGCTTGTGAAGTATCAAAGTGAAAATAATTTTCAGTCAAGGCTTTTAAGGAATAAATATTTTGATTTTTGCTTTAGAAACTTTTTTTAATCTAACCTTTCAACTAATAAAATAATGTGATTTGATTCTCTCTATGCAGGTGATGATGTAAAACCAAAAGATTACATAGTAGCACTGCAGCATCCTGTGACTACTGATATTAAACATTCTATAAAAATGTTTGAATTAACATTGGATGCACTTATCTCGTTTAACAAAAGGACGCTAATTCTATTTCCAAATATTGATGCAGGTAATTAAATTTCTAAATGCAATATTGTAACTAAATTCTGTCTTTTTGCTTATTCTACATATTTTATTCCTCATATAATCTCTTATTATTTGAAATTATTGAGAATAGGGATTGTATATTACATCCCCAGGTATGTGGTATTTTTAGGACTTTGTGACTAAAGTAAGTTCAAGAGGAAAGAGAACACTAAGAAACCTTACCTTTTGATTCCTATTTTGCCTATTACCAGAAACCATATTATACTAAAATCTTCTGCCAAGTAGTAAGGGAAAAAATGCAAGAAACACAGCAATTGGCAATTGTTTAATTTATCAATAAAACCAAAGAAGGTTTTACTCTCGTTTTCTTGGAAAAAGCATAAATCCTAGCTGGTTTGGCATTTATCTGATTATTCTCTTATAGGCTGATGTTAGCTAAACCCAGGGTTGTGCTGGAGCCAGCTCTAAATAACTTACAAGAGTTATTATTAAACTTTTAATGTGAACCTAAGTATGTGTGCATAAAAATATATATTTCCCCCCAGGGAACCTGCTGTTAAACATTTACCAGCGTGCTCCGGTATTGCTCTGTAAACACTGCCTGAGCTCAGCAAGAGTGCAGTAGAATGCTCAGGGGATGAAGTCATCACCAAGCTAGAGGCCTGGGGACTATAAGCCAATAATAATAATAGTAATAACTGGCACTCGTTTAACCTTTAAGGTTTGCAGAGTGTTTTACATGCTTGATCTCATTTGAGTTTTGCAACACAGCTACACCTCTAAGTTACTCTTGAGTTTAGTTGAGTAGTGTGATGTTGCCCTCAGGTCTCATAGACTCTGGGAAACATGGCAGGTTATGGTATCACAGTATCAATGAAATAAACACTCCTTCCTTCCCCCTTGATTTTTTTTATTATTAAAATGAAATTAAAAGTAGATTGATGTTAAAAAAAAAAAACAAAATTGGAGACCCCCTCCTCACATTGGATTTAGGTGTGAGATGAGAATGCAGATTACTTACATTTTAAAAAGTACTTTAACTATATTTCTTTTTGTTATTTATGTACACTTTTAAAGATACAATTGTATATTGCTTACAGAGATAAGCATACTATTACATTGACTATTAAATGATGTTTTGTTCATTGATATTTTAAACTGATATACTGAATTGGAGATATTTCCATTGGAAAAATGATGACCCCCAAGACTGAATTTAGTGAGGCATAATAAATAAACAGCTGGACTTGGAGTCAGGAAGATCTGGGTTTGAGTCCAATCATTGACATTTTTTGGCTTTGTGACCCTAGACAAGTCATTTAACTTCTTAGTGTGCCGGGCAACTCTCTAATACTATGAATTGCAGAACGTTGCCAAGCTGCGTTGAGTATTTTGTCACTGGGAGGTACCTAAATCAATGTTTAGTACATTGTACATTAGTAATATGTTTAGTACAAAAAAAATTTAAATCACTTTTAAAATGACATAATTTTCTTATAAATGCATTAATACTACTCAAAATAAGGACAGAGTGATGAGTAGTGGAAAGAATGAAATATTATGACACTTACATTGTAGTCATCAGTTCATTTGTAAAAATGAGGGTGTTGAACCAAGGCGATTTCTGCTGTTATTTTTAGCTCTGAAATTCTGTGATACAGTACTGTGCCAAAGACCTAAAGGCATTAACTTTCTTGAGTGGAATCTTTAAACATAGCGGTACATGATAGAGAAGGTCTTTTTCCATGGAGTTCAAGAATTATCTCAGAGAATGAACCCTCAACTTATGGACCAGAAGCTATTAAATACATGCTTTTTCATTATTAATTTTTAGTTACTCTATGGACTTATAAGGTGTTATTAGAAAAGAGTATTGACTGTGTTGTTTTCTGTTTGAAAAACCCAGGTTCCTTTCATCATTCTTATATGATCAAGATTAGTTATTTGGCCAAAAATTATTTTTAAGGCATTGATTTTCTTGAAAGGATCAATAACTCAACTTATTATTTACAGAAATGTAGCTTTCACATGATGAGATTGGATTGAGTGAAAAACATTTGTAAATAAAAATAGCTCGTGAGTGAATGTTTAGTTTTTAATAGAAACTTTATTTTTCATAGGAAGCAAAGAGATGGTTCGAGTGATGAGGAAGAAGGGTGTTGAGCATCATCCCAATTTCCGAGCAGTTAAACATGTACCATTTGACCAATTCATACAACTTGTAGCTCATGCTGGATGTATGATTGGCAATAGCAGTTGTGGGGTACGAGAAGTGGGAGCATTTGGTACTCCTGTAATCAATCTAGGAACACGACAGATTGGAAGAGAAACAGGTAATCATCTCTACTTTAACTTTTTTACAAAATCAGTTTTATACAGGTGTTTATACGTAAATTAGATTGAGATATGGGTACACTCTTTCTCGCCTTCTCCTATCTCTAGCCTCAATAACTTTGCCCTTTCCGGTAGCATTTCATAGTGATCTCATTAGTGTAGTATAATTAAACTTTTATCATAATATTGCAAAATCAAGTTTTAGATGCTAGTTGAATCTAGGGACCTATTTTCGCTACCACTGATGTTATCTCAGCATTAAGTACCCAACATTACTTCTCATTCTCTTCAGGAATGTAGCCTAGTTCTCTTATCTCCTCTCCTACCATCCACCACCCCACTCTACTCCTCAGCTCTGCTTTACCTATTATCATTTCAGGTCTGCATGAAGACCATTTTAAGCTTTTTATAGTCTGAATTTTGGCCTCCCAGGAACATAATTCCCATGAAACTAACTACTTTTTACAGTGTTATACTGTCTAATGCTATGTATATACAGAAGTAATTTAAAATGTTGGTCAATTATTTCTCCATTTTAGAGTATATCCATACCATAGTGAAGTAAAGGATTTTCTAAAGTCTCTGATTAGTATTTGGCTATTAGTAAATTCATAAGTTATTTTCATGTTTGTGTGTTTGTTGTTATTTTTTAAATTGAGATTTCAGTTTATTATAATTTTTACTGCCAAATTATAACAACAGAGTTGAATGAAATTAAACTGCAAAAGTGTGTTTGAATTATAGTCCTTCATTTCCCAGGGGTAAAAGAGATTACCCACAATTATCAGTCTCAATGGCATATCTGAATTTCATAATAAAATGATTGGATGCTTAACACATTTAGTATCTTCTGTTCCCAGTTCAAGAGATATTAGCCAAAGTCTCAGTAACACTACATATATAAAATGAATAATATGATATATCTCTGTATCTCACTCTATATAGTAACTTGTTTTATATACAAAATTCCTTCCCTGAGCCAAATGGTTTAGTCAGTCCTTTCAGTAAGATGATAGAATGAATGATCATGATTAAATCCAACTCCCTGTACCACCTCAAAACAACAATAGATGTGCCACATAAAACAGCAACAACCGAAAAAGGAGAAAGGATCAGCATCCTTTCTCTAATCTTTATGTGTGGGTGTAGTTCAGAGCTTTGTCTTCTCTTTTCCCTTTATACTTCCCTGGTGATCTTATCAGCTCCCCATGGGTTCAACTATTAACTCTATGCAGACGAGTCACAGATATGATTATCAACTACCCATTAGATACTTCATCTGGCTTCCTTCCCTTAGGCATCTTAAACTTAACACATCCAAAACAGAATTTTTTCTCTCTAAACTCATCCCTTTTTCTTAGTTTCCTATTTCTTTTGAGGCCATCAGTCTCCTTCCAGGCACCCAGGTTTTCAACCTCTGTGTCATCCTTGATTCTTCACTCTGCCTCACTCCTTCACTCCATTCCACCTCACCACACAATCACCACCCTAATTCAGGCCACTTTTATCTTTTCTTGGACTACTATAGTAACCTTCTTATTGGGAGCCCTGCTTACCATTTCTCCTCTTGCCCATGCATTCTGCACACAGCTGCCAAGGTGGTATTCTTAAACAGGTCTCATCACATTACTACCCTGCTCAAGAATTTATTGAGTTATTCTTACCTCTAGGATACAATACAAATTTCTCAGACTTTTGAAACTTTTCTCAATCTGGCTGCAGTCTACCTTTTCAGGCTTATTTTAAACATTAATTAAATTCCTACTATGGGCCAAATGCTGTGCACTGGGGATCCAAAAACAATGAATGAAACAATACCTACTTTCAAGGAGCTTAATTTCTAATAGGGGAGACAACAAGGATACACATACATATTGTATGATTGCATGCACATGTGTGTATCTATATGTAGTATGTGTATATGTATGTACATACACATAGATACATATGCAGTATAAAATAAATATAAATTAAATGTCAGATAGTTTGAGAGGGAGGGCACTAGCAATTGAGGGAATCAGAAAAGGTTTCAAATAAAAGACGGTGCTTGAGCAGCATCCTGAAGGAGGAGAGGGATTATACAGAGGGAGTGCTCTCCTTCACATGCTTTGTGTTGTAGCTAAACTAGGCTGCCTGCTTTTCTCTCTCCACACTGTTACATCTCTCTCCATGCTTTTCCATCAGCTGTCCTTTCATTCTTGGAGTGTACTCAAGTACTACCTCCTGAGGGAAGTCTGTCCTGAATTTCCCCCTGCTCACAGTTACTATTGTCTACCCCACCCCACCTAAAATTACTTTATATACATTTTGTATTCAATTTTCTATATACTCATTGTTTCCCCCAATAAATGTGAGTTTCCTTAGGGTAGGAATTGTTTTGTTTTTATCTTTATATCCCCAGAACTTAGCACAGTTCCTGACACATAGTAGGGACTTAATACATACTTGTTGAAGGAAGGATGGAAAGAAGGAAAGGTATAGATTGGGAATCTTTGTACAACATCTATTCTGAAGTCTAATATCCAAAAAGTATAATGAAATCTAAAAGTTCCAAATTGTTATGAGCCATTCTGAAGTAAATAAATATTCAAAGAATGTGAATGCCAATTAATTAACAGCATTTATTAAGCAAAAACTATATGTCAAACACTGTGGATACACAGTCTAGGAGCCAAGAAGTAGCAGGAAGAATAGTAAACCCCATTCTTGCCTTCCAGTTTCTCCAAACAGATATAGAAAATACAGTAAACAAAATCCTGATCAGGAAATTCAAGAAAACAATCACATTGAGTCATTTTCCCAGCCCAGGTTGGCATAGGGAGACAGATAGTGAGGTCTGCAAACACTGGGAGAAGGGCCTGGCTAGGAATGAGACATGAGAAGCATTCCAGTACATGGACAAGAGGAGGCCTCAGATTCCGTATAGAGAGGTCTAGACTTGTGTAGGGTACAGGAACAGGTGCCAGTTGGCAGCCTTGTTTCTCACAACTCAGTTCTGAATCATACATCCAGGGTGGACTGAGGAGGGGACTTAGAACCTAGGCTATGTACTCAGCAAGAAGCAAGTTCAGAAACAAGGAACAATTGTATGGCTGGGACCTCAGGAATGGAGCAGGGTCTCATTTCTAGCTTCTAGTCTACCCTGAAGTCTATAGAAAAATAACCAGGGCAGGAATGCCAGATCAAAGAGAAGTCTACAGCTTTGTCACTCAACCAGCAGAACTCTGCAAATGACCAGTAGTCTCTGAGGCCAGCAGAAGTCCACTGAAAATCCAAAGAGTTTGCCTGGACTCAAAACCAGATGAAGAGCTTCCAGAGCTCACACAGGGAATGGGGCAAATCCCCAGCCTGAGCTATCTCTGAGATCCTGGAATAACACATTTAGTACCCCAAGAAATCAGCAGAAGAAGGCTAAGCCCAGACATTTCCTCCAGAAGTATGCAGACCCTGGCTCTAACGCAAAGTCTGAAATCAGGAAGTAGGCTGGAAGAATAAGCAAACAACAATAAAGAGAATCCCATCACTAAAAGTTATGATGACAGGGATACTCACGACAAACCCAGAAGAAGAGAATGTTTCCAAAACCTCAAAGGAAAACATAGTTTGTGTTCAAATTCAACTACAATTCCCGGAAGAGATGAAGCAAGAGTTTTTTTTTTTGAAGAGTTAAAATGTTTTTGTAAATGAAATGAGAATTCTAAAAGGAAATAATTGGAAAAGAAATGAGAGCTATAGAAGAAAGAATTAATAAGGGAATTAACAGCTTAACACAAGAAGTGCAAAACCTTGCCCATGCAACAAACTCCCTGAAAATTAGAATGGACCAAATTATAGAAGCTAATGACTCCATGAGACAACAAAAATATTAAAACAAAATCTGAAGATTGAAAAATGGAAAAAAAATGATAAGGTATCTTATAGCAAAAACCTGGAAAAAAGACCTGGAAAACATGTCAAGGAGAGAAAATTTAAGAATCATTGTACCACTTGAAAGCTATAAAAAAAGAACCTAGAAATAAAATTTCAAGAACCCTTTTTAAAAGAAAACTGTCTAGATCTCTTAGATCCAGAGGGCAATGCATAAATAGAATCTACCAGTCAACTCCTGAAAGAAACTCCCAAATGAAAACTTCCAGGAACATTACAGCCTAAATCCAGAGCTTCCAGAGCAAAGAAAACATACTTCACACAGCCAGGGGGAAAAAAAGAAAGAATTTAAGTACTAAAGAGACACAGTCAGGATAACACAAAATTTAGCAGATGCCACGTTAAAGGAGTGAAGAGCTTGGAATATAGTTCTGGAAGGCAAAGGATATAGGCTTACGAGCAAAAATAATTTGTCCAGCAAAACTGATATGATCCTACAGGTGGAAAATAGACCTTTAATGAAATCCAAAACTTCCAAGCATTCCTGATGTAAAGAGCAGAGTTGCATGGGAACTTTGAAGTTCAAACACAGGAGTCAAGAGAAACTTAAAAAGTAAATATGACCAAACTAAGAAACAACAAACTACTTACATTCTATTGTGGGTAGATGATACATGTGTCCCTTTTGAAACCCTATCATCAGGAGTCATAGAGGTAGTCTTATTAGACAGAAGACCTGAGAGTGTTTCTATTATATCTAAAACAAGAATGGAAAGGTGGGGGAAGAAGAATATACCAGGGAAGGAGAGAAAGAGGAAGGTTAGAGAAAATTATCTCCTATAATTGAAGTGTGCAAATAGAATTCTATAAAACAAGGAAGAAAAGGTGAGGGGAGTGGCTGACACTTGAACCTTACCCTTCTGAATTTGTCAAAGGAAGGAAGTATACACTCACATAGACAATTGGGTACCATTTCACTCAGTGGAAAAATAGGGAGAAAAGGAAGGAGGGAGGATTAGAGGGAAGACAGATTAAAGGTTGTATTATTTTTAAGTAAAACAAACAGTAAGGATGTGCAAAAGTATTGAAAACTTTTTGTAATGATAAGTGTCATAAATGATACTGCCTTAAACATGCATACATCCTTTCTTTTAACAAATAGAAAACTATGAAAGTGTCAGGTTACATGTCCTTGCAGTTGCATTCAGTGCTTTATCTTATCTTACTCTGTTGTTTTCAGGGTTTATACATTGTAGGCCATTCAGTAGGAGTGAACTGAGGGGTACTGTATGATGTGTCAAAACAATTTAGCAATAAAAATTTAAAAACTAAAATTATTAAGTAGGTAGAGTTTATCTCCACCATTCCCACTTCTAGTATCTTCACGGTGCCTTTTAGCTGCCCAGCCATTATGGTGCCTCATCAATGCCTTCCCTTCCCAGCAATGCCTGACTAATTTGTATAAGTTTTATTTGTTTACAGTACTAAATTTACTCATGCTATAGACCTGTTATTTACCTCCTCCTCCCTACCCACATGTACGCTCTTCAGAAATTTCCTGTCCTTTATCTTGTTCTTTACAAGTACACTTTGTGATAGGTAATGATCACTTAATAAACTGATCTGCACAAATGTGTGATCAAGTACCCCTCCTTGGTAGCACATGCATTTTAATGAGGATCTTCTAAAGATAATACTTTTATTATAATAATATATAAATGAATGATTTGTTGAATAGGTAGAAAAATGAAAAAAATCTACATAGGTAAATATGAAAAGATTTTAAAAATATAGCTGCAGATTTATTTGACCTAAGAAGGAAAAAAAAGGTTGATTTATCTTTGGTAATGAACTAATCTACTCTCTATAATTTGATATTTAGAAGTCTTATTCTGAGAGTTCTTTTAAAAATATAAGATAGAAACCTTGACACTGCCAGTAGAAGTTTTCAATTTAAGTCCCTTTGGGTCTTTAATGTTCATTAGGAACACAGTATTAAAATATTTTATCTCCTTTCTGTCACTGTAATATAGTCACTTTGTTTATGTAGGTGAAAATGTTCTTCATGTTCGGGATGCTGATACTCAAGATAAAATACTGCAAGCTCTGCACCTCCAGTTTGGCAAACAGTATCCTTGGTAAGTATCAGACCATCTTTTGGGTGGCAGAAAGAAGTGATGTCTCTGGAAGGCGGGGTCATATACTTTTTATGTGAAGATTCAGGGCCCAGCAGTCATTGGCACCTATGACAAATAATGGTCACTAGTCATAAGAATAACAAATTTGAAAAGTTTTAATGAAATAATGTAAGTTTGACACCCTGGATTCCTCAAAGAAGTAGGGAGCGAGGTGTTTTTGTCCCTATTTTAAGGTACTTGAGTATCTTATTATGTATTACTAATAAAACCTTTCTAGTCAAGTCAGCATGCATTTACCTACTGTGTGCCAGATGCTGTGCTAAGCACTGGGGATACAAAGAGAGGCAATAGAAAGTCCCTGCTCTTAATGAGCTCTTAGTCTAATGGAGGAGACCAACTCTGTACAAACAGGATAGATATATACAGGATAAATTGGAGATGATTAACAGAGGTAAGACACTAAAATTGAGAAAGAATGGAAAAGGCTTGTTTCAGGAGGTGGGACTTTAGCTGAGACTTTAAAGAAGTGAGGGATAGAGATAAGGAAGAAGAGAGTTGGAGGCATGAGGGGACAGCCACATGAAATTGTGTAGAGGTGGGAGATGGAACATCTTACGGGAGGAATAGCAAGAAAGCCAGTGTCACTAGATCACAGAGTAGGAGGAGGGGAGTACTGTAAGAAGACTAGAAAGGTAGAAAGGGGTTAGATTATGAAGGGCTTTAAAAGCTAAACAGAGCATTTTATTTGAGCCTGGGGGGTAATGGGGAGCCATTGGACTTTGTTGAATAGGGAGTAACATTGTCAGGCTTGTGCTTTAAAAAGATCTTTTTGATAGCTTAGCAGAGGATGGCCTACAGTGGGGAGAGTCTTGAGTCAGGGATACCAGTCCAAAGGCTATTGCAGTAATGCAGGTGTGAAGTGATAAGGACTGCATAAGAATGGTGGCAGTGTCAGAGGAGAGAAGCAAACATGTACAAGAGACATTTGAAAGGTTAAATTGACAAGATTTGGCAACAGATTGGATATGGAGGTGAGAGAGTGAGGAGTCAAGGAAGACACCTAGGTTGCAATCCTGGTGACTGGGAGGATGCTAGTATCCTCAATTGTTAGAAGGTAAGAAGAGGGAGGAATTTGAGGGTATATCTAAGGGACATACAGTTTGAGATTTCCAATAGGCAGTTGGAAATAAGAGACTGGAAATCAGGAGAAAAGTTAGGACTAGACAAATGAAGAATCATCTATATAGAGATAATAATTGAAACCATGGGAGCTGATAAAATCACCAAGTGAAATAATAATAGAGGTAAAAGAGAAGAGAGCCTAGGATAGAGACTTGGGGGATACTCATAGTTAACAGGTCTGACCTTGATAAAAGTCCAGCAAAGGAAACTGAGAATGAGTTGTCAGACAAGTAAAAGGAAGAACCAGAAAAGAGCAATGTCATGAAAAACTAGAGAGTATCAAGGAGAAGAGAGTAATCAATGGTGTCAAAGGCTTCAGAGAGATCAAGAAGGATGAAGATTGAGAAAAGGCCATGAGATTTGGCAATTAAGAGATCATTAGTAACTTTGGAGAAAGTAGTTTCAGTTCTCTTGATCCAGAAGAGTACACTTGCAGCTCCTAAAATAACAAGCATTAACCCTAGTCAGTAAGAGTAAGCCAGGGAAGAAAAGCTTATGATCATGATAAGGAGAAAGAAATATACTATAAAAGGAGAAGTAGTAAGAGAACACCTAGTTGTCCTCAATGAATTAAAGTAACTATGTCCAGAGAAACTAAATCCAAGAGTACTGAAAGAAGGGATGTGATCACTGAGCCATTGTTGGTGGCCTTTGAAAAACTGGGGATGATGGGAAAGGAGTCTCATGACTGAAGATGGATAAAGGCCTCAGTTTAAAAAAAATGAAGAGAGTAGAGCTGAGCTTAATTTTGGTTCCTGGTGAGATTCTAAAACTTATAACTAAAAGAATAGTTTGCAAGAATTTTTAAAGTGGAAGTGCTAAGAATCAGCTTGACCTCATAAAGAAGAGGCCATATCAGATTGGATTAGTAGATTTATTACTATAATAGCATACCTGGATTTCAGCAAGGTATTTAAGGATTTAACAAAGTCTCTTATGCTTTTCATCTGGGCAAGATGTAGAGATGTGGGTGGATGATAGTACAAGGTACATTTGGATTAGTTGAGTGACTGGGCCCAAAGAATTATTATTAATAGATAGATATCCTCTTGAAGGAAGGTCTTCGGTCTTCAGTATTGTTCTTCAGTTGTTTTTCAATTGTATCTGGCTCTTCATGTTTGGGGTATTCTTAGCAAAAATACTGGAATAGTTTGCCATTTCCTTTTCTAGCTCATTTTACAGATGAGGAACTGATGCAAACAGCATTAAGTGACTTGCCCAGGGTCACACATGTAGTACTTATCTGAGGCCAGATTTGAACTCAGGAAGATACATCTTCCTGACTCCTGGCCTGGCATTCTATCCCCTGAGCCACCTAGCTGCCGCAATCTTCAATACTATTCAACATTTAGCAGTAACTTGGATGAAGGCATAAATAACATTCTTGTAACTCTTGTAGGTGTCTCAAATCTGGAGGAATAGTTACCATATGATAGAATCAGTATTCAAAAAGCTCTCGGCAGGGTAGAATAATAGGCCAAATAGCCTTCAATACTTTAGCGAAGCTATGTTCTTAGCAGTATGGATATTTGCTCCAACTATGCAGATCAGAATCCAGCTGGGCCTTAATCCTATGTGATTCCTCCTTCTTGTCTGTATCTTTCCATAAATCCTATACAAAGTTTACCCAGCATTCTAGGGGGCTTCCTCTAGAACCCTTAACAGTGTATGAATAACAGTGATGTACAGTGGTCTTTCCATTTGTTATTCTTCACTCTTGCTACATGATCAGCCTATCTCATCTTTTGGTCCTATATCCTTTTTTTTTTTTAAACAATCACAAGTAGTTGAGAGTTAGTTAACATGAAATTATACAAATAAAATTTGTATAAACACAAATTCACATTTGTCATAACACAGACAGGAAAGGACAAAACAAAAACAAGAAAAGTAAATTGGCCACGTTTTACAATTGGACGTAGTTGTGATATGTACACTTAAAGTCTTTTACAAAATAGTCATCTCAGATCAACAGAACACCATTCTCCATTCAGTGTTGTCATCCTGCAAGATAGGCTGCTGTAGCATCTGTACCTGTTTTCTCCATGTCGTCCTTTAATATGACTGGTAATTGTTTTTGGCGATGACCCACCCCCTCAGGATGTTTTACCCTATGTGCTTAGTTGACCTCAGCCATGATTCCTAGTCCCACCTCATCTGCCAGCTGCAGCGTCCTTCTCTCCTTTCTGTTGTTGCTGTTGCAGCCTGTATACTTCTTTGGGCCCTATATCCTTTTGGTTGTATCTTTTATGCTGCTTTTGGTGTACAATTCTTCACTGGTTATATTCCATGTATAAATCCTACTGCACATTTCTTTATTGGATGACATCTTTGGATGACACATGCAACTTTAGTTCATCAGAGACTTGGATATTCTAGGATTCACAGTCATAGAATATTATGAGAAGAATGTGGAAGTTTAAAAAAACGGGCCTTTGTTGCAGGGAGAAACTTAACACTGTTAAAAGTTCTAATCAGTTTCCTATGTGTGATCTAGCCTGCTCTCATTCCATTCATTTCTAGGCCTAGTTCAACATATATCTGCAGTATGAACTGATGAACTATTCAATTGTATGTCATAGTGTAGATAGGCACTGTGCTGTATGAACAAAGCAGAATTACAGTAGCTCAAAAGCAATGTGAGATGTGCAATTTGGAGTGGAGAGTCATCTCCACTCCAAATGTTCTTGTGGACTATTTGTGCCCAAACCTGTGCTAGAGCCTTCTAAGCTTGTATTGATTTGATCAGTCACAGTGAGATACACTGTACCTTGACCCCAATATAGTGATGTCATTTTGGTCCTCTTGAACAACCAACCAACCAACCAACCAACCAACCAACTATAATTTAGACAAATAGGCATTCTTTTAAAATAAGTTTTATTAATGCCCTTTTTTACATCACTATTACTTTCCAGCAACTATTTTACCCAACAATAGAACTTTCCCTTATAACAAATAAATATGGTTAAGCAAAGCAAATCAACCCAGCCATTAGTAAAAATGTGTGCCTCATTTCTGAATCTCTCTGATGAGAGACATCATCAGACCTCTGAAGTTATTATTGACCATTGAAGACAATAGGCATTCTTTTTTGTGTGGCATTTTCCTGTGTGGATAGGAAATAGGAATTTTCCTGTGTGGATAGTCAGGCCAAAATCTTTCTAGTTATTATGAAAACATAGAAAGCTCTGCAATGAGGAAGTTAGCATAATGTTATCTGCACATAGTAACATCTGGAGGATCTTAGGATCTTGCAGAGTATACTTTTTCCATTTGGGCTGTCTGTTTGACATCTTCTGTGGCAGTGATAAACGCCTCAAAGTTATTTCTGTTGTGTCTATCAGGAATATTGTATGACTTTTTAAAACTTTATTTTAAAATTATATTTTAAAAATTATTGTCTTTTTAAATTCTGAGTTCCAGATTCTCTCTCTCTCCCTGTCACCTGTACCTCCACCCTCCACTGACTGAGAAGGCAAACAATGTGTTATCAATTATATGTGTAAATTATGCAAAACATATTTCCATATTAGCCATATCACAAAACAAAGCAAAAAAAGAAAGCAAGAAAATTATACTTTAATTTGCACTCAGAGTTCATCAGTTCTCTCTCTGCAGGTAGATAGCATTTTTTCATCATGAGTCCTCTGGAATTGTCTTGAATCATTGTATTGATCAAAGTAGCCAAGTCTTTCACAGTTGATCATGATTACAACATTGCCATTACTGTGCATAATGATCTCCTGATTCTTCTCACTTTGCTTTGCATCAGTTTATATAGGTCTTGCCATGTTTTTTCTGAAACCACCCCCTTG